ATCACATGGCCAACAAGCCACTCCCACCCAATCACATGGCCAACAAGCCACTCCCACAAAGCAGGCCACACCTACAGAAGAGGTTCTAAAAAATGTTGAAACCCACCACTGGTGCTAACTTCCTTCACTTGGCTGTCTAGAAATAAACGCTGTGCAGACTGCATCTGTATCCATAGAAGGGAGAAAACCTGCCAGTATAATTCCTTATCTAATTTCAGATCTTAATCCAACATCCTGCCTGAGGATCATTTTTTTTTTTAGATTGCTTTCTCTATTTTTATTCAGAAGCTGAAGACGGTGTGCTGGGAACAACAGCCCCCATTTTATTCATGTAACAAACCTGTGAGGCAGATTGGCCTGAAAGGAAGGGACCGGCCAGATTATCTGGATTGAGTTTCTTGATTAGAAAAAAAGGAAGAATCTGGTTATTAACACACAGTTTCAGAAACAGCTACAAGGCATGCAGAATCAATGATGTCACTTTCAGATGCCACCTTAACCACAGGAGGGGAAAAAAGATTTGCATTGTGGTTTGTGTGTGTACAATACACGGGAAAGAGAGAGACAATTTGGTTAAAGAAGGGCGGAGTTATGCCCACTTGGCTAGGGTGATTTTGTGAAAAGAAAGTTACGGTAACACATGCAGTGAAAAAGAACTTGCTCCAAAAATGGGATGTTTTGCGTAGTTGGGTTCTTGCTCAGTAATGAAACCAGGGGATTCTGCGCTTTCTCTCCACCTCGTCCTGCTTCTGCTCCTTTCCCAAGGCAAGAAAAGCAGAGGGGAAGAGGAGGGAGGGACAATTTTTCCAGGCACCACAATCTGATATCTTCCCGTTTTATCTCATGGGTGTAGCAGCTAAAAGCTTCCTTAGATAGATTTAAATTAACAGAGTTGGAAGGGACCTTGTAGGTCATCTAGTCCAACCTCCCCCCCAAGTAGGAGACTCTACATGCTGGCTGGGGAATTCTGGGAGTTGAAGTCCGGACATCTTCAAGTTGCCAAGGTTGAGAAACACTGCTCTACACCATTTCTGACAGATAGCAGTCCGGTCTCTTCTGGAAAGCTT